TCGTTGGCCCGAAACATCCGGATGCACACGTGTTGGGTGAAGAAATAGGCCAAGATGCAGAAAACCAAGATGGCGCCCTCTTGAACCGCTTCCTCTTGCCCAGGTTGAGAAAATGCCAGCTAGAGGCTGGGGCTTGTGAGGAGATCTCGTCTGCGCTCTGCAGCAACCAGCACCTGGTGGAGTTAGACCTAACAGGCAACGCCCTGGAGGACGTGGGGCTGAGGCTGCTGTGCCAAGGCTTGAAGCACCCGATGTGCCGGCTGCAGACCTTGTGGTAAGTTGGTGGTGGGGCCGACAGCCATGACAAATCCACTCGTGCTGAGTGAGCTGGGCGTGGGGTGCGGGCACCAAAGTGGACCCACTGAGGAAAAAGGTGGAACACAACTCAAAATCATTAAAGAAGCCAGGCTTAGTGGTCTGGTCGGATTGAGACTGGTGGAACCCTCAAGCTTAGACCCTTAGTCACCCTTTAATCCTGGAGCTGAATTCACCCTCGTGGCTCTATTTCCGGCCCAGCAATAGATAAGCCTATCATCAGGGAGGTAGCCACTTGAGTAAATGGTGGCGGCCATATCTAACCTCCCCTGGCTACCCAAAGGAGAAGAGCCCAAGTCCACACTAGACCAAGGGCAGCAGCCACGAAGCAGGGGTCAGACCTGCCTCCCCTCTCCATCTTTCTTACCTATTCCAACAACTACCACTCCTCCCACAACACTCATTTCTCTGCCAGGTTCTTTCATCCGTGGCAGCAGCCACACAGAACTCACAGATGCTACTCCGTATTAAGGAGGGTGACTAGGGAAGTGAACGAGTTCCCACAAAGCAGGATCAGATGACAGTCAGGATGTAGTCATTGGTCCACCACTGCCACACCTCTCCTCGGCCAGAGGCCAAGTGTCCAGTCCTCCGCCTCTCAGCCCTGGGCCTCCAGGGGCCAGGAAGCCAGCCCGCTGTTCTGTCTCAGTCTCGGGCTCAGAGTCTGGATGCCGCTCCTCTGTTCTGTCTCAGGATCTCCTTGCCTTGTGTGGGAGCCAGCCCACATCCCGATGGGTCCTACGGGACGGTTGCGTAATTGAGGCGAAGAAATGAATAGACAGACAAAAGTTTTGGAGTGCTCACCTCCTCCATGAAGCTAGGTCTGAGTGAGAGAGAGAGAATGCATTATTTCACCAACTTAGATGGTCTCAGGGCATGTGTGTCAGTCTGGGTAGACTAGAGAAACAAATGCAGAGACACTCAAATGTGTATAATAGAGAACTTTATATCAAAGAGTAATTGTACATTAAGAAAACATCCCAGCCCAGTCCAGATCAAGTCCAACAGTCC